TCAATCAGCCTACTTAGATTGATCAAAACCAAAAATAAATTATTCTTGTTGAAAAAAGAAAGTTTTTGGAGTCCACTGCATTGAGGCAAATGTGCAAAGATTAAGACCAATCCACTGGTTAGTTTAGTTCTATAAGAACAATAGTTAAAAAAAATATATAAAGCAGGATTTTCTGATTGAATAATTCTACAAAATTACTAATTTATGAGGGGAAGAGATTTTAAAAAATTATCAGTTGACAAATTCAGAGAGCAGGACAGAATTTAATTACTTTTTTCACAAGCACCAGAAACACAAATCATAGTCATTTATACCCTAAAATTATGATCTCTCACTGTAGCTGCATGTACCTTTTGTTAATATTACACAATGCACTTCATTACTATTGAGTGACTTGTAGTAGTGCACAGGGCATTTCATTATTACTTAGTAACTGATAGTAGTGCACTGTAAGCTTCATTACTATTGAGTGGCTTGTAGTAGTGCACAGGGCATTTCATTAGTACTTAGTAACTGATAGTATTGCATTTCATTACTACTTAGTAACTGGGAGTAGTGCACAGGGCATTTCATTACTATTGAGTGACTTGTAGTAGTAAACAGTGCAATTCATTACTACTTTGTAACTGGGAGTAGTGCACAGGGAATTTCATTACTACTTAGTAACTGGGAGTAGTGCACAGGGAATTTCATTACGACTTAGTAACTGCTAGTAGTGCATTTCATTACTGCTTAGTAACTGGTAGTAGTGCACAGGGCATTTCATTACTATTGAGTGACTTGTAGTAGTAAACAGTGCATTTCATTACTACTTTGTAACTGACAATAGTGCACAGTGCATTTCATTATCCCTTAGTAACTTGTATTAGTGCACAGTGCACTCCATTACTATTGAGTGACTTGTAGTAGCAACTGATAGTAATACACAGTGCATTTCATTACTACTTATTAACTGATAGTAGTACACATTGCATTGCATTTCTACTTAGTTACTGGTTGTAGTGCACAGTGCATTTCATTTTTACTTAGTAACTGGTAGTAGTGCATAGTGCACATCATTACTATTGAGTAACTTGTAGTAGTACACAGTGTATTTCATTACTACTTAGCTGGTAACTCAATGTGATTGTTACTAGAGCAAAGAGTATCTTTCAATTTATCACTATTACAGTGACTGTTGCATTGTAAGTCCATAGGTTTACTGCTGATCCACTAGTGGATTTGATTATAACTACAACAAAAAATATCCATTAACTCGAGAGTTTCCCAAACTGTGGTCCATGAAAAGGTTTATTAATTACCAAAAGCAAGAGTTAACATATCCCAGTGAAAACCCACACTTCAGATCTAAAAAAAATGCTGCTATACAAGCACAAAGAGTATGTATAAATGAAGTGGAAAAGTCTAAAACTGTACATTACATGGCTATTGAGTTCAATAGGGAAAACTTCATTATTATGCATTGTAAAATAATGGCCTGCATGCCAGTTTCTCTGCAAAAGAAGAACAACACTTGTAGGAGCTTTCTTGCAATAAAACATTAAGATCAGAGTTTAAAAGAAATCCCCTATTACAGTTTTGGATTCAGTAAATTGAAGAGTACTCAGTACTTGCATACAAAGCAGTTCATTTTCTGATGCCATATATTACTACTACGTACTTGTTTTAGACAGGATTTCAACACTTGCAACCCTAAACTTAAAATACAGGAGCAGGGTGAATGTTGAATCTGACCCAAGGCCAAAGATAATGAACATTAAACCTAACATTACATGTGTACTAACCATCACATTAAAACATCAAAAGGCAAGACTGTGGTTAATGTTAATAATATATAGATCTTTATGCCCTTATTTTGTTTTTTCTTAAACCACACTGTTCTTATGTGGCCAAAAATAATTAATTACTATCATAGTAGCTGGTAGCCCAGTGTGTTTGTTGTTACTACAACAAAGAATATTATTGAATTCATTACTATCATAGCAGTTGGTAGCCTAATTTGTTTGTTGTTACTACAACAAAGTATATCATTGAATTCATTACTATCATAGCAGTTGGTAGCCTAATTTGTTTGTCATTACTACAACAAAGTATATTATTGAATTCATTACTATCATAGCAGTTGGTAGCCTAATTTGTTTGTTGTTACTACAACAAAGAATATTATTGAATTCATTACTATCATAGCAGGTGGTAGCCTAATTTGTTTGTTGTTACTACAACAAAGAATATTATTGAATTCATTACTATCATAGCAGTTGGTAGCCTAATTTGTTTGTTGTTACTACAACAAAGAATATCATTGAATTGATTACTATCATAGCAGTTGGTAGCCTAATTTGTTTGTTGTTACTTCAACAAAGAATATCACTTAAATCATTATTAGCAAAGCAGTTAATAGCCACATACAAGTTTTGTTACTACTGTTATTGAAATTAACAAAACAGAAACTTACAATTCATTGCTACCATAGTGGTAATTAATCTTTTTACTACTGACATGCCTCTGTATATGAAGCAAGGTTTGATATAAGCTGACCATACTATACTGTCTTGGTGTGATCCACGATGCCAAAAATGATTTTCCTAATAACCTATCACAGAACAAGTATGTAACAGAAACCTACCATCTTACAGCATTGAATACAGTAACCAACATTTTTTTAAATCACAGAACTAGTAACAGTGGTAGATGGTAGTGAGAAACTATCAACTTTTATCAACTATTACTAAAATATCAGCAACTGTAAACATTTTATCAAATAAACATTTCAGAACTAAAAAATAAATGCTGTTTATATATAATGCTATAATTAATACAAATACTTTTTTAAAAATACAAATGCCTTAAAGTGACAACAGCCATTTCAAATAAAGAAAAGAAACAGTTTTAGTAGATTATTCTCTTTGCACTATACTCTTTTATAATAGTCGAGATGTTAATTTATTCACAGAATGCTCTTCAATATGACCTCAAACTTTGTCAGTGGCTACTTTTGCTCTTTACCAGATAGCTCTCAGAAAAAAAAAAGGCTTTATGTCAAGACTGTTATTGTGATTCCATTCAAACAAATTACAACAGTCAATCGTCAAAACATTCATTATAACTACACCCTTTACCTTTTTTTCCTGATAATTATGCTCAAATACTTCTCTGACACGTAAATTAGTGACCAACTAACAAAATGGTAAAAAAATTTCACCAGGTATTTACAGAACCTTTGGGTTTATTCCACAAGCATGATAAAATTACTTTAAACCAGATAAAGAACAGCATCAACAAAATCTTATGTTGAAAACATGACCTGAATTTCACTAATATACCCACACTTTTAAGATTTATCAACTTATACTTAATGCAAAAATGTTTCATTTTCATTTTTTTTCAAGTTTGAAAAATATAAAATGTCATTCAAATTTAGTGTCACAAAAAAAAATCTAAAGCGACTTAATGGTATTGAATTATTTCTGACCTTATATTTTGAGCTTAAATAAAAATCACAGTTAAATTTCAGTTAAATAATGAAATGGAAATTATTCAAAAACATATTTCCAAGCCATAACAAACAGTAAAAAAAAGAAAGATATAAAGAAATATATGTTCCAGTCAACAGTTGTACAATCACAGTTGAAGTTCCAAAACAAAACATAATATATGTATTAGTGATGTTTTAATACAAGCAAGTTATAAGCAAATCCAAAATAATTTAAAACAAGGTTGGACATTTTTAGTGTGTATAATTCAAAGAGAGTGAGCAATTTCTAAGTCACATCTGGCAAATCTGATTTTTACCCGCCGAGGATTTAATGTTCTTAAACAAAATCATCATCCAGCAGGTAAATGTAAACATCATATGGATTGCAAAACAAACTTTTTGGTAACTTTAAACAGGTAAGCTAAGTATTTTTAGCCTTTGTTTATGTCTAGTATTTCAATCCTATTTCAGATGTACTGGCATATAAGACAAAACATTACTTTAAAGTGCATAATATTTTACTCTTTGAAATATATTTTTGTACACCTGTTATTCAAACTTCACATACAAATTTGTTTTAATACAAACAGTTTTCAAAAGTAACTGGAAAGCTGTCAATGTCATCTTTCATTGAAAAAGTGAAACAAAGATTTGTAGAAATAGTAGTTATAAGAGTGAGCACACATTTTGTTCTAAATCTACAGTTTTATCCACAACTTTGTTGACTGTTTCTCAAGTACCTGGGAAGGTGTTATTCTGTATGATAGATGATTCAGCATAAAGAACTAAATAATGGAACCACGTAAATTGTTTTTTACACAGTCAAATTAGTTTTTACCCATTTAATACATTACAAGACATAAGTTTATGTAAAGAAAATGAAATAGCAATCAAAATATTTGATGCATGATAATCAACTAGGTTTGAAGTAGAAAATATCTTTACAATGTCTGAAGTTTTCATAAATTGGCAACATGAAAGATAATTAAATTCTGTCACATTGTGACATAAAAGAAAAACTATTTTCTGTGAGCTGATAAAAGTAGACAGAGATTGTGACACTTTGTGACAAAGTATTAGTTCTGAATACTGGTAAAATGAAAGATAAGGTTTCAGTTTTTACAGAACAAAGAAAGATGGAGGCAGTTAATTACAGCATGAAATACAAAGTCAATTAGTTGCATGAAAGGCAGTACTTTTCAAAAGTATTGTCATGAAAAGATGAAATTAGTTCAGTTGAGCCAAAGTTAAGAATGTAGTTCCATTTGTTTTGTCATGAAAAATAATTAGGTTATTTTGCTGGTATCATAAAGGATACACTTTCTTAGATAGTGTTCATGAAAGATAAGTCCATTAGCTGGTGGTACAAAAGATCAAGTTAGGTCACTTAGTTGGTGGCATGAAGATAAATAATTTCCTTAGATTGTGTCAATAAGAATTTGATTTCTAGTTATTACTAGATTTTACAGTTAAAACAAAAATTTTGAAATATATTAAAAGATACATGTAAGATTGAAAACAAATGTCTAAATAACATTCATTTTAAAATCTAGTGGAAAAGTACAACTACTTTAAACATACTACCACATCACAATACATTTCAAAAAATTATTTGACAGAGTCCAACTGTAAAATTGTAATTCAGTCCTCATATTTGTTATAGATCATCTTTAAATATGAGATTACAGCTGCCAGAAAAAATCTCCTTTCTGAAAAAATCACACAAAAAAGAGGTCAAGGAAAAAACCTTGTGATGGTAAGTGTTGGAAAGATGGATTTCTCCACTAACTTGTACTGTGCACATGTTTGAAATGTCAAAGGTGTGGGATATGTTCTTTTGGTGGCACCACAACCGTACAGCACATCATCACGTGTCCTCTATAAAGCTTTAGTGTTAATTATCAAGAAAGAAGGACTAGGCACACATGGAGTTTTTACTTTGGCCACTGAAACTATCATAATAACTCTACTATCATCAGAGATGGCCATGTCTGGAAGGGTCCGAAGAGGTTGTTTCCATGCTTTCATGTATGGAGGCTTCAAGTGCTATTGGTGTCAGCCACTGACGAGGTAAACATCGCTGGAGAAATGGGACACAAGAACTGAAGTATGCCAATCTATTAACCCACCGTGGAATATCTTGCCCACACAAAACCTGTTAAGTACACAATTTATGTAAGTAACGGAATTTCTGCCTCTCCTATCATAAGGAAATCACCAAAATCCACTTCTAAAATACATCATGATTAAGCTTACAGGCAAGTATAAGATGATATATGCAAAAGTATTATGAAACAGTTAACAATACTGAAGCCTCAATATTCATCTGCTTAAGAAAGTACTAAATTTACCTAAAGTAGGTTTCATGCAAGTACTGAATTGTAGTTATGCAAGCAAGAAACAAAGATAGAACTTAATTCAAATCAATATTTAAGGTATTTTCTCATTTACTAAACCTGGCAAGCAAAATTTTAAGTGTTTTATAATTATAAACATGTTTTCTAACATGATAAAGAATCATTGTTAAGCACGTGTTAACATTATATCTCTGTCTTGTACATGGCTAAAACACAGTGTCGGACCTGAATGTACTTCAGTAGATCCCCACCAATAACTTAAGTGTTACTTAATGATTTTGCTACAACTGATACGAACATCACCCACTGAACTCAGGTGGGACAAAGACGTGCACTAAATAAATAGAAACAATAATTTAGTTTATTCAGAATTGCAATGATATAAAATGAGAAATGAAAAAATTACAAAAAAAGAATGAATGTTTTAAACTGTTTCAATTAAACTGCAAAATCATGTTGTTTTAGTAAAACCAAAAAATATTCAAACATCCAGATTAAACACACAAAAAAGTCATTATACATAACAGTTCAAATCACAATTATTAAAATTTCCTTACCTGAAATGATATTTCAGATAGATACCTATCTCTATGCACCACTAAAAGATATCTTGTGTACGACTGCTTTGGAATTTCCTGCACAAGCCATGAACATACTCCCACCCCTAAATATGTGCGATGTATTGTTTCAGCCTATGCTGTAATTGTCATAATGCTGTAGTCCTTCATCACCAAATAGGATGGCCACACAACTGCCACGTGTAATAATCCCCACGATCATAGGCTCATTTTTGATGAGACAAATGAAACACACTGGAAGTAGAGAGTAGGAGGTGGTGCAGAGATAAGTAGTTACCTGAAATACATTTTCAGGTAAGGAAAATGTTAACTTTAGAAATTTTACTTACCTCTCTGCACAACTAAGATTAGAATCCCATATTAAGAAATATGGGGGGCTGGTGTGGATAAATTACAAATATGAGCCCCTTTTTGAAATAGCAATAGACACAGAAAGTCTATGGGGTATGATTTTCACAGGACCGGGAATTGCTTAATGGAGCAACATCTGGTGGGAGACTTTTACTAAGACAAGAGCAACAGTAAAATGTTACAGCTTTTGCTCATGATGTTACCCTGAAAAACAGAGAAACTGACACTTACTTGAGCAAGAGTACCTGTAAAATGATTACAATTTTTGTTCATGAGATGGTAGCGATCTCCTCTAAAATCCTTCCCCATTTCTTCAACAATGTGACGAATGTCACTTTCTGTGAAGTCTGTATAACCAATAAGAATGGACTGCCTGAAAATATACATTTCCTAAATGTGAAATAATGGGTGGTAGTTTCAAGCTATAACCTACCAAATGAAGTAAAGTTGTTTTATTAGTAGTTTTCTATGTAAGCCTGCTGATTGAATTTGTTTTAGTAAAATCATTAGTAATTTAAACTTTCAGAAAAATTTATGTTAATAATTTTAATACTCGTTTAACCATTGGCTAACTATAATGCATACCTCTATAGTGTCCAATGGGTATTCACATAACAGACGATTATTTTGGACATGAAACAAAATGAGACCTAAATTCATTTACCAAATATCACAGTATCTTTTTCATATTTCTATACAAGATAGTATGAATGCTGCATCATTTTAGTCAAAATGTACCATTTTGATTCGATTAGAGTTAATCCCTTGATTCCAGTATAAGATACAAAAATTTACTTTCTGTCCCTATGCTTAATTTTGTTCAGAATAACCTACATTGAAAAATAAAAAAATAACTAACCAAATTTCCAAACCAGCATTAAGATGAACTATTATTGTGTATACTAGAAAATGATGCTATATCATAAATTTAAGACACAGTAAAATGATTAGGCAGTTCTTAACTGATGCCAGCTTTAGACAAATAACACATTGTAAGTTAATATTAAAATTACAACTATCACACAGTTACATTTATATAATTCCTACAATACAGCAAAATTAGCAGTATAATTACATCTTCTATCAGTTGTATTATCAAAACACCTCTGGTATTGGATACTTGTGACCTGAATGGCTACTTATGTGACACAAGCTAAATAGCCAGGTCCAGAGACATTCTTGGGGTCAGGTACAGACATCCTAAACTTAGAAGTGTTGACCAAAGGTATGACAATCAGTCATTTGGCATCTACTGCCTAGTTTTAAATATTTTGGTGGGTAACGTTCATCAAATAGGTAAGCATCAAGTACTGGAAAATGTGGGTTGTTCAACAAGTTCTTAATTGTTTAATCACTTCGCAAGGCTTGAATCCATAGTTGCAATGTGTTTTATTACATGTAAAATTGTAAACTAAAAGATAGATACATGTCAACTGGGCACCATGCATTTTACTGCTTTTAGATTTCAAACAACCAGCATATTAATTGTAGATTCATAATATATACTGCATTATTTCTACAGTGTCAAATCACCAGATGGCACCATATTAATTATAGCTTTATAACCTATACTGAATAGTTTCTACACTATCAAACCACTAGATGACAGCATATTACTAATTTTCAAATCTGTGAGTTTTACAAAATATGCATTATCATACTACCTGGTAAAGAATAATTACAAAATTCATTATATGTATTACTTGACTGTTTCCAGCCCACAGATGGTATACAACATTTTGTTTTTAAATTTGAAACCCACAGACACTTCAAACATAAACTATAACAACCACTGAGAACATTTTAAACTAAATTTCACTTTTGTTTGATAAATTTGTTATTTATAATGCCATAAAAAGTACTATGTGACATAATTATATTCTATGTCATTATGCAATATGGTTGTAACTACTGACCTGAAAACCAGGATTCACACACACACACTTGTTCTACAAGCTACACAGATTCTAAGAGTCAAGTTTCATTGCTTTTCTTTTTTGTACTTATTTTATCTTCTTCATTTCACAAAATAAGCAATTGTTCCATAAAGAGAAGTTTGTATTTTAATATTTAGGCCAATTTCTATATTTTTGTTGTGCAGGAATGAAACAGACAAGAAACAAATTTTTGGATGGCAACTCTGTTGAAAAGAAATTTTGGAATAATATGTCTTATATACATCATTAAAACTAATAAAATTGAAAATTACTATATCTTATTTACAAAATTTGCTATTGTACTCCTTTTAGAAATTATGTACATTTCTTTAAAAATGGATCCCCTTTAGGTTCAAAACTCATGCCAGTTGTACTTATAATAAGTTTAATATATTTTATTAAATGCAGAATCTGTTAAATAATGCAGCATATTAAGCTAACTTCCTCGAAACACATTAACATTAAAAATGTGCCTGTATCACTACTCCGTAGTTACAGAGCTAAAAATAATGATAATGAATAATAAGGAAAAATGTCCTACTTAAATCTAAAATGCTCTCCTAGGTCATCAGCATCTCTAGGAGCAATTTCAAAAATCCCTGAGAAAGGAAATGGGTGTCCTCCATAGGCATATTCTAGCAAAAATGAAAAAAAAAGTCATGTCTTAGTAGTAATTCCAATGAGTTTCTCAACATCATATAAAACTATACATGCCCTAGCTTTTACTTATAGAGAGAGCTGTTTCTGATGCTGAAGATAGCAACATGAGACAGAAATACACAACAATGTGGTTCTCAGCTCATGGTCACCCACATTTTAACAAAACCAACAGAAAAATGAAAATAAAGATACACTAGTAAAACAATCTTTTACAGGATCACATTTTAACAAAACAAATGCACACTAGTAAAAGAATCTTATCAGGGTCACATTTTAACAAAACTAGCATATGAATGTAAACTAGTAAATTAATCTTTTACAC